GCTCATCATACTTGCAGTATAAACCACATGTGGACTCTGTGGGTGGTGAAGAAACACATATGTGCCTGAGCAAGTGTCTGCAATAGGGGTATTTACTTGACCCCCCCCCCCCCCACTGACATGTGACATATGGTCAGTTTAACGTGGGGACCCGAGTTTTTTCACTCAGGCTGCTGGTCCAAGCTGGTCATAGCTTGTCCAAGCTGGTCTAAGCTAGTCATAGCGGGTCCAGGCTGGTCAGAGCCGGTCCAAGCTAGTCGCAGCCGTGATACCACCAGCAAGGATCAGAATGTCTACACCCCTCAAGAGAGCAACCGACACCCTGAATTCTCATTGGCTACAATACCACACCTGCGCAAAGGTGTCCTTGAATACGAGTGGCCAGCTATACTAATGGTCCTCTGTAATTTTGATCTTGCAAATGAATTACTATTTTTAATAATGAGGTTACCAGTTTTAAATTTTTTATAATAAATAATTAATTTTCTGTGTCCCTGACTGAATTATCAGCTTTCTAATTATAATATTTGTTGTTTCCTTTAATTTCTTTCTAGTATTTTTAAAGAGAGTGCTGTCTAACATAGTTACTCCGATCTTTTATGCTTTCAACTTTGAGTAACATTTAAAATTCAAGGTGATGAGTTTGTTATTTAGTAATTCTTAAGTTTATTTATACACTATTTTAATCTTTGCTTTTTTATATAAGAAGATTGACAAATCTACTAGTTCTGTCATTTTAAATAAGACTGACTAACAAAAGCTCAAGACCATCCTTAATATTCCAGACAAATTCAAGAAATTGAATAAAAATAATTCTAATCTTCTTAAGACACAAATAAACAAACTCATTACAACTAATAAAGGAAAAATAGCATCCATGAAACTTAACAAAATTTTGATGATCATCTTGCCTCTTTATGGGGAAATGTTAAAATTCATAATCCAAACTTACCGCTATATCCCATAATCTCTCAAATTCCTACTTCTGTATGTAACTTATCTAAAACTCTAAACAAACCAATCCAGCCATACTTATTAAATAAACATAGTGTTGGTTCTGCCAGCGAATTCTTTCACTTATTACATTCTGAGAAACCTAACAATGGCATCCTAGTCTCATCAGACATGAAAGCCTGTAATGTCCCTGATAAAGAAACCATATAGAAATAATAACACAAAACTTATATCAATATCCTTAGCTCACACATAATATTATTGCAAATATTTTGGCAGACACATCTTGTCAATATTGTTTAATAGGTATGTGTGTATATCTATCTATCTATCTATCTATCTATCTATCTATCTATGTCCGTTCATATCTATCTATCTATCTATCTATCTATCTATGTCCGTTCATATCTATCTATCTATCTATCTATCTATCTATGTCCGTTCATATCTATCTATCTATCTATCTATCTATCTATCTATGTCCGTTCATATCTATCTATCTATCTATCTATCTATCTATCTATCTATGTCCGTTCATATCTATCTATCTATCTATCTATGTCCGTTCATATCTATCTATCTATCTATCTATGTCCGTTCATATCTATCTATCTATCTATCTATCTATGTCCGTTCATATCTATCTATCTATCTATCTATCTATCTATGTCCGTTCATATCTATCTATCTATCTATCTATCTATGTCCGTTCATATTATCTATCTATCTATATCTATGTTCATATCTATCTATCTATCTATCTATCTATGTCCGTTCATATCTATCTATCTATCTATCTATCTATGTCCGTTCATATTCTATCTATCTATCTATCTATCTATCTATCTATGTCCGTTCATATGTTCATCTATCTATCTATCTATCTATCTATGTCCCTTTCATATCTATCTATCTATCTATCTATCTATCTATCTATGTCCGTTCATATCTATCTATCTATCTATCTATCTATCTATCTATGTCCGTTCATATCTATCATCTATCATCTATCTATCTATATCTATGTCCGTTCATATCTATCTATCTATCTATCTATCTATGTCGTTCATATATATCCGTTCTATCTATCTATCTATCTATCTATGTCCGTTCATATCTATCTATCTATCTATCTATCTCTCTCTCTCTCTATATATATATATATATATATAGATAGATAGATAGATAGTTATCAATATATACAGATATATATAATTGTGTATTTAGACAGCAATCCTTCATTTATACATATTTCATTAAAATGACAGACAAGGTACTACAATTAATCTTTTTATTTAATTTTCTTGTGTTTGAATAAGTCTTTTCTTTTTTGGACAAAGAGTGTGTAGAAACTGTCCTAATGTTTCATAATTGCAAGTGATTTCGGATATACTTTTAGCCATTATCAAGGATGATTTTATTTTTACTTTTGAATTGGGTGTATGGATTGTGTATATGTTTTTAGAGTTATAGGCATGTTATATTTTCTGAACACAATTAGCACATTGTGACTGTGTTTGTAGTTAATATTATTAAATATTGGCTTTTTCTTTTTTATTATTAAAACTTTTATTATCTTTTTTTACATTCGGATGAAGTTATTATATTTGTATTTTCTACTAATATGTTTCGGATGGAGTCTGGTAAGTTTGTACGGGTGTTTAAATGAATTCTAATCGAGCTATTGTCAGATAGGAGTAGTGTAAGGCATCTGGATAGACATATACTTGTTTGACCGATGTAATTATTTAATTCGGCGAACTGGACACGTCTCTTACAAACTAAAGTTGATACCCTTGGCAAGTCACCATATATCATTTCTAGAGTTGGGTGGTTTCACCATGAGAGATTAAGCACTCTTCTTAAAAGACATGTATAACATCCATCTAAACGACGCTGTTGTTTTGCTGAGAGAGTTTCTGAGCCATAGAGTAAGATTGGTTCAATAAGTACGCGGAAAAGTTGGATCAATCGATCACGCAAGTTAACCTTTCCAGATAGGATAAAACGTGACACGTTGATCCCTAAGGAAGATCTTTTAGGTGCTATGACAGATAGGGAATACTGGAGAGGTGTAGTGAGTTCAATCTCGGCTGAGGCCGCAAGATGCTGATGATGATGATGATTTAATTCGGTTTGATCAGTAAAACATTTACATAAGGGGCATTTGAACTCATAAATAATGTTTGTTCATTGTAATTTTAATTTTGTTGGTGTGTTGCTATTTTTAAGGATAAGGTTAGGTGTTTTAAATTTTTTGTAGTGGATCATTAATTTGAGTTTTTGTTTGGGTCAATTTGGGTAGTTTATGTGTTTATATTTCTAAGTGTAGATTCATCTTCTTTTTAGTTGATGTGTATTTGGTTTTTGTAGAAAATATTTCTTATTTTTTATTGTGTTCACGATTGTTGTTATTTACTTTGGGAAGAAATAGTCTAATTTGGTGGTTTATAAGATGGTTAAGGAAGCCATTGTTAACTAGTGTCTGTTTTACATTATTGAATTCTTTAAAAAACAATTGTAGTGATTTTTTTTTATAGATAAATAACTCTAAAAGCATAAACATGACCCATACACCTAATTAAAATGCAAATATAAAATCATCCTTGATAATGGCTAAAAGTATAGCCAAAAGTGCTCGGAATTATAGAAAGGTCTGTGATTGGGAGATTGGGGGTTTTGAGGAGCATGGAACCTCTTAATCACTGTTGTTCACAGGACCACCATAATCTGCGGTGGTAGCACCTGTTAGGGTCCCAGCTATGGGTAAATAGTGAATAATCTAAACAAAAATCAATGATACATTTTTATAGCAAAATAACCAACAATACATTTTTGTAGTGAAAGTACTAGCAATTATGATCTCTCTACAAACTATATCATTAAAAAACATGCCTTTTAACCTGAAAGTATATGACTATGTATAAAATATTTAGATTTTGGCCTTAAATAACCCATAGAGGTGTTGATATGCTGCTAAAGAAAATCAACTAACCAACCAACAAACATTTATATGCATGGCTGACTATTTTCTTAAATGACCCCTAAGGTGTTGATATGCCATTAAACTAACAAATCAATCTTCCACAGCTTATATGTTGGGGACACTCATTTGTATGATGAGACTCCCTGCTATAAAACACTTTGTGTAGGAACAGATGACATGGCTGTTTTATTTATCAATAGCTTGGTATACGGTCAAAGTATGGTTATGTCAGGTCACTCTACGGTTGCTACTGGTACCATATAATCTAATACTACCTGTTTCATGTTTTGGCCATTCGTGACTAAACTGATTCCCTCAGAAGATTTTTCTGAGGAGGAAGGTGGCTAGATGCAGAATTAAAAACAAAACCTGTGAAAGGATCTCCTTGTATGCTCAATGGGCCTCATGCATAATCGGGTTGACTGAGCTCCATTGCTGTATAAGTAGCCATAGTATCAAAGATATGGCATTGCTAGGCAGAGAGTGTCCTCGACAGTAGTGAATAGTCAGGGTGAAGTGTTCCCCTAACCAATGAAATTCACATCGGCTGTGTTTTGACCTGGAGAAGGATGGCTCCACCAGGTATAAGTATTTTTTTCATCATTTCACCCCAAGCAAGGCGATAAAGCCACTAAAACGCAAAAGGTTATTGAATGTGTAAGAATCTGAGAAATGAAAACATACTTAAGACTAGAGGGCAATAAAAGAACAGAAACAGAAGTTGAAAAATGACATTACATTTATATTTTTGAAAGTCAAAGTTGTTTGGAAAGTAAGTATCTTTTTTATTGATTAGTTTTCTACACTTTACCAATCTTTGTAGGTTATTTAAAGCCAGAAAATATTTTTAGATTGCAAGATTTTTTCAGATAATAATGATTTAGTGATGTAAGTCTTACTATTTAATCCATAGCTGAGGAAAGAAAGAGGTGGAATCATATCGTCTCCAGTGGAATTTGTGCGTAAGTGAATATAGAGAACACAGTGCGAATTTGAACTCGGCTCTCAATCCAATTAACAATTCCGAGCCAGTATCCATTACACCACTCACACATCCACGCTTACAGCACCTGGTATTCCCAAGTGGTCACCCATCTAGTACTGTTCAGGCTCAACGTTGTTTAACTTTGTTGATCGTACGGGAATTGGTGTACCAACGTATTGCGGCCGTAATCCGAAATTAAGAAGCTGAAAGGGAGCTACACAAGCGAGAAGTTCAAGTGCAAAAGTCTTTGTACGGAAGGTCACTGTCTGAGACTAGCTAGGTTAATGGTAAGACAGGAGAAGTGCAGTCTCCGCCAACACGCCCCCCACCCGCATTTTGACTGTATGCCACATTTGTAATTTTCGGTAAAATAAATCTTCAGATCCGACATGGCTGATGTTAGCGATGGATCCCACTGCAGGCATGCTTAACCAGGCCACCAATAGCGACATCAAGGCGCTTCCATCAACAGTGATGCCTTCGGTGAGAGACGAAAGCAACAGCAGCAGAAAGAGACTAACTCTAAGCTACTAGTGTCCTCTCAGGATGTTGGCGATCATCCGAGCACCAGAGGATAAAAAAGTTCGTCAGAGCAGTTGCCATGCAATTATTTGTAGACAAGACAGAGGGAAGCTACGTCAGATCAATGAGAAAGTACTGAAGTCGAAATGCCAGGTCAGGATCGATTACATTACAGATTCTTCGGATTTTATCAATAATCTCGAGACGTACAGTAAGATCACCAGGCCAGTATTCAATGCATGGACTAATGATAGATTTATAAATGTGCAAGATGGATTCTGACGAGAAGATTTCTCGGGGAAGACATAGTAAACCAACTTTTCCTTGCAGTAGACAAAGTAACCTATACCCTATGTTTACGCAAAAAACCGACGGACAAGACAAATTCTATATCAGTTATGTGCTATGCGTGATACAAGATTAGGCGATCATGTATATTTCGATACATGACTGACGAGGTAGATTTTTTTCCCTCAGTAGGTTGCTATTTCTTTCTGCGGTAGACCAGCTGCCATCAAAGGCCATAGAACCCGGTCTGTACTGCTATTTACCCATAGCTGGCGGGAGAGAAGAAGAAGATTCGTACCTTTCCCAAGGGTATTAGCAAGTAAGTGAATGTAATGGATTTGACTGGAGTTCGAACTCGGCTCTCTGATTCCTCAATCGTTGCTCAGATGTTCAGTACCTGGTATTCTCAGCATCCTTCTGTAGAACCACATTTCTGTTGCTTCATCTTTGAGGAGATTCTCCAGCATTCACTGCCATATGTCAGCACTGATATTATATAACAGTTCACTACATTTTTCTTTGTTTCTAATGAAATTTTCCCGTTTCTTTATAGTTTGTTTAGCTTTTGGAAGGCAACTTTTGTTATTCAAATGTGCCTTCGGATTTTAGTGTCGCATTCTGCGTTCTCTATTAAAACGCTTGCCATTACAAAATCGTAAAAGACTGAATTGTTGGAATAACAACCAATAGCTTTTTTTCCATTGAGAGCAAAAATCGACAATGACTTGCAATAATTTTTTTTTTTTTGTTATTTATTTCGATCGATATTGTCTCATTTCAAATGACCAATCAGGAAAAAAGACTGAATAGAAGGCCCTAGAACATGAATATTCATGTAAATACAAAATTACACTTTTCCTTTGGACTGTTATATTGTGATAATTCATGATTTAGGAAGGAAAAGCTTTAGATGGTATAAAAATAGTCATTGCTCCAAAGTAATTCATAAAAGACGAAGAAATGGATTTGAAAGAAACTGCTTTGAATGTTTCAATGCATAAATAAATAAAATAAACTTGTCAGCGGTTTATGCTTAAAAGAATATAAACAATTATATATATATATATATATATATATATATCACTTTTAATGTTATTTTTAGTGGATACTCATATTAGAATAGACGCTCTATATATTTATTTTCGTCTATAATCCTGAATATTCGAGAAATCGGAAAGTGCATATCTGTCTATAGTAAGATTTATCGAATATTGAGGGATAAATCCTGTCGGCTTAAGAAATAAAAAATCCATTATTTCTTATATATATATATATATATATATATATATATATATATATATACTAAAAAGAAGAGAGAAAGCGCATATTTTTGCTATACGTGTTTCTAGTCTCGCGAGGATATTTCGACATATTTAAAAGGAATTAATTTTTCTTATGCTTTTCAAAGCTGAACATTCTCTTTTTTGTGTTATAGACACAAATCTTTCATATATATATATATATATATATATATAATTTTATTTCCTAACCCCTACGTGTTGGCCAACCTTGCATGGTAATACTTACGGGCTGAAATAACAATACATATGGAGTATTTTGGAATTTCTCTTATATGTAATTTATCTATATATGCTCTGTTATAATAAACACATTGAGCTCTCTTTGTGGATCAGTTTATTATTAGGATTCACTTGGATTAATTACCCCCCCCCCATATATATATATATATATATATATATATAATGGGCTCTCCCGTCGCTTTCGACGTATGAGGATCTGACAGCTTATTGATTCAGTTATGAAAGTTTGTACGATAATCTTAAGTGGCACTTAAGACCCGCTAGTGATTTACAAAGGAGGCCACAATTGGAGCAAGTGTGAGGATTGTGAAATGAGATCACTGATAGATTGGCTGACCTTTTAGATCTTGCTCTCGCTTCTTGAAGATGATTCAGACAAGCAGATTGAAAACAGCAGTTTTCAATCTGCTTGTCTGAATCATCGTCCACTAAAATATGCTGATCTCCATTCTACCCGCTCCAAAGCTAAGCGCTCAAAAGTCTTATGTGGTATATTGACTGATGACAAGTTGCTTTTCAGCTTGTCTTTGTATCTTAGCCATGGGCGTCCTACATTCCTGTAGCTCTGATCTAACTGGCTGTACATTAGGATCTTGGGTATCCTGTCATCAGACATTCTCAAGACATAACCAGTCCACCGTAACTGAGACTGTATGAGAAAAGTTTCGATTCCTCCAGTATTACACCTGTTAAACAGGTCTACGTTAGATGTCCTATCTTGAAGCTTAACTCCACAGATTGCACGCAGACAGCTTTTATGAAAAACATCTAGCTGGTACAACAGCTCTGTAAACCCGAATTTTCGTATCCAGTCGAATACCCCGCTCATTCCACAAGCGATGGTGAAGTTTGCCAAAAGCACTGATAGCCTTAGCAATCCGATGAATGATTTCATCATCTAAAGTTTCACTGTAATTGACTTTGCTACCAAGATAGGTGAAAGACTTAACATAGTTCAGGGGTTTGTCTTCTACTCTCAATGGTCTCTCTGGAAATTTGTAGACGGGTGGTTTTTATTTCTCACCACGCAATTGCTTCGGAGCAGAACACGGTACGTGCACTACTTCAGTTTCCTTTATGTTAAGTGTAAGACCAAATGCTTTACATGCAGCAGAGAAACGATTTATTAGATGTTGGGCCTCCTCAAAGGATGTCACTACAAGAGCCGCATCATCAGCAAACAACAAATCACGAATAATATGCGTACGAAGGTGAGTCTTGGCTTTGAATCGCAGATGATTATATATATATATATATATATATATATATATATATATATATATATATATATATATATATATATATATATATATATATATATATATATATATATATGGGCAATGTACGGTGGAGTATTGGATAGCGGCTTGGATTGAGGAATCGGAGAGCCGAGTTCGAATTCAGTCGAATCCATTACATTCACTTCCTCTTCGTCTCCCTCCAGCTATGGGCAAATAGCAGGACAGACTGGGTTCTATAGCCTTGGAGGACAACTCTGAACTCAAAACCTGCGGAGGGTCGTTTGGGGACCTTGTGGCACGTAGTGCACCAGGTCTCTGCATTCGGCCCTTCAAAAAGTGTGGATGGTCCTGCACGAAACCTTCACCACTATAATCAAATCTCATGTGCTGTTGTCGGGCTCTCGGTTTCCAAGGAACCGATCTGCTTGACCCTCATATGTCGAATTCAACGGGAGAGTCAATATATATATATATATATATATATATATATATATATATATATCTACAGGAATTTTTTTTTCATATATCAAAAACAATGGCAGAGAGGGAAAACTTTTTCCAGTTTGTCATATTTCTTTCTCATATTAGTCGCCATTGTTGCATTAATGCGTAAATATCCTTTAATGCTTAAATATCCTTGAGAAAGTTATGACTTCATCAGTTCTCACCTTAGCTATAGGTTAAATGGTAGGGCAGACTGTACTATTTAGCCTTGATTGGTAAACAGTCTAGGAGAACGACAAGTTCAAATTCAAAACATGATGAGAGGACCTTGCGGCATACCATGTGCATTAATTGTTTGTATTGAGTTAAATGGTAGGATGCATATTTTCTATGAAAATTTCTCGGACATTCAGGCCGGTAAATTTTGTTAATACTGTTTATTATAAACAGAGCATTTATTTAAATATTTGTATCTATAAAAAGAACGTATAAACATAAAAAATGTCTTAAAATAATTGTCAGAATTTGTCCATTTCATAATGTGTGACATATATATATATATATATATATATATATATATATATATATATATGTATGTATGTATGTTTTATTCTTATACGTTATTTATATAGACACAAATATTTAAGTAAATTCTCTGTTTATAATAAACAGCATTAACAACTTTTACCGGCCTGAACGTTAATTACGAAATCCGAATTCACGCGCTAACATTTTAACTGTCAATTTAAGCAATAAAATTTTTTTTTGAAGATTTATAGCTTCAACTGAAGTTTTAAGTATACGCTCTAAAGGTATCACTGACAATAAACACGTTAATCGCGCTCACAGATGAAAATGTATCAGAAAATTCCAGGCGCGAGTTAATTAGTAGTCCCAATCGCAATAAAAACTGCCAATTACGAGATAACTTGGTGGATCTCATTGTGTTAAACTGTTCGATTCATTTATCTTTGGAAGATGTGCCATTCACAGGTAGATGCCTCACTAATAAGCCTGTGTATACGAGTGTTTCATTTTAGAAATTTGTGTGTCATACCACGTTGAAATAGTGGTTCTCCGATCATCGTCAAAACTGGTCAGTGACCACCTGGGAATACCAGGAGTTGTAAGTTTGTC